TAGCGGTTTCGAGCCTCTCAAACTAGATTGGCTCGGAAAATTTTCACGTGTAAATATGGGCCAATTATCAACGATAAGCAGCCATTCTGAGAGGTATATCATTCTTGTATTGCGTTATCTTATTCCATTAATCTTATTCAATCAATCTAACCCAAATTTTAATGAAAATTTGAGTTCAATTTTTGTTTCTATATTTAAAAAAGAAAAAAGAAAAAGTATCCGAAGATCTGAGAACTTCAAACTGTACTGAGTTACGCGTATTTTCGTAGCTGGCATTCAAAGCACGATCTCTAATTTTCGAAAATCTTTTCTTTCCAAATAAGATCCATTTATAAAAATCACATATATCAGTTTTAATGGATAAACCTGTAAAACTTTTTAAAGTAATTACTGTACATTTTTAGCACAGGATGAAACTAATTTACTCTATACTTTGTAATTTGTATATAATAAATTTTTACGTTTAGGTTTTTTTTTCCTTCTTTTGAAGCTGATCGTTTCAATTTACTATGAAGTAAGCAATATTATAAAATTTCAAAACTTTGCAAATTTTTATCGGAAAAATCTGGATATAAAATTGTGAAAAAAGAAAATTTTATTGATGTAAGAGCGTTTGACCCGAGGGAAGCCTAAACGAGAAAAAGACTGAATATTCTTTAATAAAATCAAATTTTATTCGAAATTTTATTACAGAATTGAAGGAAAATGTATAGTGAATTGATAAAAACTTGTTTGATTTAATCATTTTGTTTTAATTTTTTTAGTTATCTCAAAACTACATGTAATTGTAATAAATACAGAATTCTCAGACGTGATTCATGCAGAAACTTTTCTAAACTGGGTCCACCTGTAGCTGGGTGGATAAAACTGAACACTTGTCGCAGGTTCTGACCAACGAGCTGGCCACGTAAGTTTTCCGATTTTCTTTGTTTCTAATACCTAAATAGGAACCAGTTTCTCATAGAAAGTCCTATCGGGATGGCACATTCCCTTGACAAATCGTCTATATGTTGCGTTGACTTATTTCTTCAATCCTATCCAATCATTTTATAAACAGTTTTTTTTCACTAGGCTAAAATTTAAAAAAAAATTAATAATTTGCATCTAATAATAATTACTATTATTTTTTAAAAATAAAATTAAATCCGTCAATAATTAGATGGATGATATAAGGCAACGCAAACATAATTGATCTGCCAAGAGGAGGTATGCCTTCCGAGAGTACTTTTATAAAAACTTGCTTCTATTTAGGTGTTAGACACGTAAAATAACCCGAAAAATCCAGGCGACTAGCCAACAGGCTAGTCGCCTGGAGACCCGAACCCGCGACAAACTAAGTACCAGTGTTCTGTGGTTTTATCCATTCTTACCAGTGAGATAAATTCGTTTGATTATTTAAATAATGTTATAATAAGCTTGTTAATCTTTGATATTATCATCATTAAATATAGAAATGAAATTTGAAGGAAAATTAAACCTTAGTAATGAATTCTAGCACTTGATTTATAATTAATGCGATACGAATTTGAAAAATCCCATGACTCATTTTACGTATTCAATCTTAATTACTTCATTTGAAATCTTCTGGGTATATTTATTTAATTAAAATTCATTCAATACTTAAATCTACGTGATGAGTTTATAATATCATTAAATATTTTCATAAAGTTGTAAATATAATTAAATTTATTCATTCCGGAGCGAATAATAACTTTCAATTTGAGTGTTGAAAAGACACAATTAAGAAATATGATATATTACTCAGAAATTTAAGTATAATCGCTAAAATAGCGAAAAGATTTTTAAAAATTTTAATCTTTCCGCTCTCGTGGGCACTGAGGGCCTTTATTCCGTGTCTGTCATGAGTTCGACCAGACTCACAATTGTACCTATGGTGATGAGCTGGATCTAATATACCCCGGACAAGATTGTTGGATTGGGCCTAAGCAACGCAACACGTTGGGATCTGCTAAGGGAGGAATGGCTTCCGGGAGGACTTTTTTTAGGAAAAATGACCCATACTTAGGTGTTAGACACGTGAAGAATGCACGGAAAGGCGCGATTTCATGACCAATGCTCAGTGCTGTTATCCACTCGGATACTATATCCGGGACGGACCACCCGTGAAAAAGTCCTGGGGATTTTAGCCCACCCGGATTCGATCCCAGGTTCCTAGGATAGAAGAGAAGTGGAGATACGAATGTGAAATCATTACAGAAATGTACATTTATCACAAACGAAAATTATCTATTGATAAATGTTGCGTGCATAAACAGTGCCACAATCGGTTAATGTACAGTACTTAATTTATAAGTACAGGCGATTTAATGACAAAAAAAAATAATTCTATGGAGTTTATTTAAATGCAAAACAACTCTCCTTACTAGATTACAATATTAAACTGAATTCTTTAATTTTTAAAATTTATAAATATATTGATAACGAAAAATTATTTATTGTGACATTGTCGCAATGTCCGGGCTGCAATTTTTAATCATATTTTTTACAATTTATTTAATTTAAAATATATGCTCTCCGCAGTGTCTTGCCCCTGTACATAATACTTTTCCTGTTAGCAACAGAGTCATCTGTCTAACTCCTTTCAGGGGAAACTTTGAATTGAAATAACGTGACTTTCGGTGCAAACCCGAAATTCACATACAGTTAATCTGGACTTCCTGCCACTAATCTTGCCACATATGGTCTCGGATTTCATCTATTTGACTCTGTTCTTGAGATTAAGGAAATACGGGCAGACGGACGACAGTAGGAATTTATAAGTCTACAATTTTTTCAAATTGCAGCCCAATAAAAATGATTAACAAGGTTATTTTATAAAGGTATGATATCCTTTTATTAAAATACAAATATAATCTACACAAATAGAATAAAGAAGCAAGAGAGTTTTGAATTTTGACGATTATTAATTATACTGTACAGTACTGTACTGTACATGTAACATTTAAGTTATTGCTACATTAAGGAATATTAATAAGTCGTTTACAAGTAAACGTTGTTGGGAGGTTGCCGTTATTGGAGTTTCGTCTGTAATTCTGACGTACTGTACTGTTTAAAACTGTAATAATTTAATTTGTACATTAGACACTAGAATACTGTACAGGAGAATTCAATTTTACCCATTATATCAATAGAAGAGATGATTGAAAATGTGAACAGAGTTCAAAGTTTTAGAAAATCACACGTGGGATTTCAAATATTTTTGAGCATCTAGTGTTTATAAATACTCTTTAAACCAAATGAATTCCAGAAAAATAATGCTGCTTTAACATATCTGAACACAAAGATGTAAAAAATAAAAAATTCTTTTAATGAATATAAATTATTCATATTTATTAATTAGGCTCACCAATGACCGAGTGGATAAAACCACTGAATACGGATTTGTTACGTTTTCCGTGTTTACTTCACGAGTCTAACATCTAAATAGAGGCAGTTTCCCGTAGAAACCCCTCCCTCTCGGTAGATTGCCCATGTGTTGTTTGCCTTCTACCATCAATCTAATCCAATCTTATTAATTTGTCTGAATAATTTAAATAATTTGAGATTATTTATATATTCACCGGAATATTATGTACGTGTTTTTCATTAGAGTATTTATTTATCTCTTATTTGGAACAATGTATTGAGTCAGAATGGTGAAGATAGCCAAGTTAAATGAACTATAAGTCCATTATTGACGGAGTAATTCATTTTTACTCACGTTGGTTGGCTTGAGTTTAATTCTTTAGTTCAGATGGAATGAAGTAATTTTATAGGTGAAATTAAATTTTTAAAAATCCTAATTATGTTACCATCTAATATCATAAGAAGTTAAACTCAGAACTTCTAAAGTTTAATCGACTTACTGCTAAAATGAACATAGTTTCTTCACTACAACTCAATCTAAGATACTAAAAACTAAGTTTAAAGATTAATAGAAGATAAAACTTTTTGCTTTTTTGTAGAAACAATTTTAGAATTTTTTTCGAAATTTTATTTATACGAGTAGTATAAATTTTCTATGAACTTTTTATATTAGAACTCTTATTACCCTTGAGATATTCAAATTTGGTTTGGTGTTCTTGTGGAATATGGGAATATAACATAAGGACGATTTGCCAAAACATTGCCTCTCGCTAGGGCTTTCTAGCGGAAGTTGGTCTCTTTTTAACTAAGTGTTAAACACGTGAAGAAAACCTGAAAAAATTACACGTGGCCAGTCCGTTGATGAGGTGCGAACCCACGTTCAGTGATTTTTGTCCACTCGGCCATTGGTAAACAGATTCAATTGTAGGAAGAATATTTGCATCATTATATAAAAGATTTTATATCTATTAAATTAATTCTCTTCGTTACGTTTTATATAAACTATTATTTTCAAATTTAATCAAAATTATTTAAAGCAGAAATTCACTTATTCGCTTCTTTATAGCAAAATAATTTTGAGCACATCAATAAAATATTATCCATTATTTGCGCAGTCTGTCGCGGTTCCGATCAATTAAAATTAAATGTAAAAATGAATCGATAACTTAAATGTAACCATCTATTGTAGAATCTGTTTTAAATTAAAATTAAACTTAATTATAGCAGTAATTAAATATGATCACCAGTATTAGAGTAGATAAAGCCACTGAACATGATCAGTATTCAGTGATATTATCTACTCAGAATTCGTGTCCGACCAACAGGCTGGGCGCGAGTTTTCTGGTTTTCCTTAGTGCCTAACATCTAAATAGGCACCAGTTTCCTTATAAAATATACTCGGGAAGTACCCTCTTGGCAGATAGCCCATGTGTTGCATTCCTTTTTTTCCATCAATCCAATCCAGAACAATTGTTTTTATTATTGTTCACTACATTGTTATAGTTTGTGTATAGTACTGATAACAATTTGAATATATTATATATTTAAATTTGTAGTAAAGGATATGATTTGTCTGCATTGCAAATATTCTTTCTAGCTTCCAGAGATAAACAGATATAAAATACTGGAAAATATTAGATTTAAAGAAACTTTACAAAGTTTTTTTATACTCAACTTTAAAGTCTGGAAACGTTCTAAAGTTTTCATCAAATTTTCTAAATAGCATTACGAAGTTTTCTGGAAACAGATTTTTGTTTTTGTTTTTGGCCTGAAGGATTATATTTCATGAAACTTGCAACTTAAAGGTACAAAAATATTAAACAAATTGTTATAATTTAAAATATGTGAAGTAAAAAATGCAAACTTTCTTTTGACGTTATTTAAATAAATATATATATTCTGTGCGTTTTTATTATTTTTAAATATAAATAATTCTTGCAAGATGGACGAAGAAGTCCAGACATCATACAGCTTTGAGGGATCCGAGATCGAATCCAGGCGGTCGATAAACCGAGAAGGTTTCGAGGGTGATCTGTTCCGGATATATCGATAAAAGTATTGATGGGATAAAGCAATGCAACACCTGGACGGTCTGTCAATTGTGGATGCGGAGTGTCTCCCTGGAGGACTATGGTAAACTAAACCCTATTTAGGTGTCAGGCCCGCCAATGGCCAAGTGTATAAGAGCACTGAACACTGGTAGTAGTTTGTCTTGGATTTTCAGATCGCCCAAGTGTCACGTTGTCGTATACGAATAAAATCAAACCATCTAGGTGTCAGAACACATGAAGAAAACCCGGAAAACCCCACACTGCCAGCCGTTGATGAGGCGCGAACTTGTGACCAATTACCAGTGTTCAGTGGTTTTTATCCACCCGGCCACTGGGACTCTATTCGAATTTTTAAAATTGTATTCATCGATTGTTTAGGTATTTATATATAATAATTGATATCGTATTTATCATGAAATTGCGGTTTTCCATCAACTTGAATGTAATTTCGCTCCCTTATCGATTTTCAATATTATCGAGCATCTTGTACTCTTATCTGGATTGAAGCTGCAAACGCAATTAATTTTATTTTTATCGCAATAAATATTGTTGTTATAAGGCTGAAAATTGGAGTGATTTCAGTTAAATTTTAAACAAATCGTAACGTAATATTAACCAAATACGAGATGAAAATAATAAAAATTTTATGACATTTTTTAGTATATAATAAAATCGGAATGATCACAGCAGCTGAAGAATTGCTTTAGGTGCTGCGATCATTTCACATATTAAACATGAAAATGCTTTATATCTTTTATATATTTCAGGATTTGCCGAAACGACTTCGATCTTGCTTAATCGTAATTAATTAATAAATGTCATTAAATCTACGATGGATAACTTGACTATAAATAGCATATTTGTAGTCTTTGCAACTAATCAAACAATGAATCAGACAAGAAACTTGACTTTGGCTACTTCAGCAGAGTATATTATCCACAAAGAAGGACAAATTGCAGCTATGGTGCTAACATCATTAGCATTATCTTTAGTCATTTTGGCGACTGTGGTGGGTAATATATCAGTTATAGCAGCAATATTTTGTGAAAGAAATCTTCAAACTGTTGGTAATGGTTTGGTACTATCTTTAGCGGTGGCAGATTTGATGGTGGCTTGTTTGGTGATGCCATTAGGAGCTGTGTACGAAGTTCGCCAAGAATGGTCATTGGGACCCGAATTGTGTGACATATGGACTTCGTGTGACGTACTGTGTTGCACTGCATCGATTCTACATCTATTAGCTATTGCTGTTGACCGTTTTTGGGCGGTGACGAATATCGACTACGTCAGGAAACGTAATGGATGTCATATCGGTTTCATGATACTATTGGTTTGGGGTATAGCTTTTTTCGTTTCGTTTCCTCCCATATTCGGTTGGAAAGATCCTGATTTTCAGTATAGAATAGAAGTCGAAAAAAGGTGTTTAGTTAGTCAAGATGTCGCCTATCAACTATTCGCTACGTGCGCTACATTTTATGTGCCGTTGGTAGCCATACTGTTTCTCTACTGGAAGATATATCGGGTGGCCAGGAAGCGCATACGACACAAGCCGGGGGGTAAGATAATTCCAAGACCTCCGCAAGCGTCCCCGAGTACCTTGTCACCACCTTTTGTTTCCGAACTGACTGTAATTTCTAATAATTATTCTTCGCACCCAAGTAGTGATAACAGCATGACTGCCAGCATGGTAGCCGAACAAGATTTTACATTGAGGCCAATGATCAACAAAAGCTGTGCCACAAAACATAGAAAAGAATCATTAAAGACGAAAAGGGAAAGAAAAGCAGCAAAAACACTGGCTATTATTACTGGTATTTTTGTTATATGTTGGTTACCATTCTTTGTCGTTGCATTGCTAATGCCATTATGCAACACCTGTCAACCTGAAGATTATGTTTTCAGCATATTTCTATGGTTAGGATACGCTAATTCTATGATAAATCCAATTATTTATACCATTTTTAGTCCAGATTTCAGGGCAGCATTTGAAAGAATGCTGTGCAATAAAAGAGCATCTAGAATACGATGAATGGAAACATCATATTAAAATTTCTATAAATAAATCGAACACTGGAAATAACATAAATAAATCAATATTGAAATTAAAATTTATATATATTAATAATTTAGTGAAATGTTTAAGTATTGTTCTTTAATCATATTTTTTACAATTTATTTAATTTAAAATATATGCTCTCCGCAGTGTCTTGCCCCTGTACATAATACTTTTCCTGTTAGCAACAGAGTCATCTGTCTAACTCCTTTCAGGGGAAACTTTGAATTGAAATAACGTGACTTTCGGTGCAAACCCGAAATTCACATACAGTTAATCTGGACTTCCTGCCACTAATCTTGCCACATATGGTCTCGGATTTCATCTATTTGACTCTGTTCTTGAGATTAAGGAAATACGGGCAGACGGACGACAGTAGGAATTTATAAGTCTACAATTTTTTCAAATTGCAGCCCAATAAAAATGATTAACAAGGTTATTTTATAAAGGTATGATATCCTTTTATTAAAATACAAATATAATCTACACAAATAGAATAAAGAAGCAAGAGAGTTTTGAATTTTGACGATTATTAATTATACTGTACAGTACTGTACTGTACATGTAACATTTAAGTTATTGCTANTGGGGCAAAACATGTTAACTGGTTTTTTTTGAAGTGTTTGGGAAAATCACCCAAAAATTTGGCGTTTGCTCTTTATTATGTTAAAGGTGGCTAACTTATGCCCAGGGCCGTCGAAAGCTCGTGTGGAGTCCGGAATTGAATAGACGTTTTTGGTCTTTAGTGGTCCCCTTTCTGTATTTTTTAAACAAATGAAATAAGTAGAATGTTTCTTTATTAAGTTTCTTAAAAATAATAATAATTTTTAGAGGGGGTAGGAACCACTAAAGGGCTTCTAAAGCTCGGAATAAAATCTGCAGCTTACATTCCTTCTCGATGGATAAGCCAATGAGAAGTTGTCTATCATGAGTATGGAAATTATATCTGCCCAATGTTTATAGAAAATAAAGAAACTCAGTTAATATGTTATTGTCTCGGGATATTCAATTACGTGATGAAAATGATGCTTATATGTATTTTAAATAATGTAATATTCGGTTTCTGTTATAAGAGTTGCAGGCAGTTACGTGTATTTGTCGCTTCTTCATCACCATTTGCACAGTTTTTCAGGTAAATGTGATTAATGATTTTCTATCTCACTTATTGTCATCAATAAAATTCTATATTTCGTATTTAATGGCCTGTCTGATTTTACGTTTCATTTGAAGATATATTACTTGTCAAAACCTCTTAAAGAAGAACGTACCCTTGCTTTTTATACTAGGATATTGACCCTGTTTGGCCAAAGCAAGGTATTGCATCTGGATAGAAATAAAGATTAAAACTAATTACTCATATCATATCTAAAAAAATAAAGTTTATGATACTTAAAAAATAAAATCATAAATTGTGCCAAATGATATTTTAATCTATTTATAAAAGATGATATATTTTCGAGTAAAAGTCATTTTTTGAAAAATAAATTTTTAGAAACATAAAAAAATCCTGAAATAAGAAAATTAAACAGAAATTTTGTGTAAAAATTAATTGATTGAATTGTTTTTTCAAATTAAATTTGTTTTTAAATATACATGGTCATGTATAAGACACCGGACCTATAGGCACCTCGTGACTCTATTGGACTAATTTCGGGATTTTTTTTTATCCCCTCCTCAGCCAACCATACGTCCTATCTCCACTATATCAAATTACAAATATATATATTTTTGTAATTTGATGATTATGACACTTCAAGGACTCTATACATAGGGTCTTTCTACATAATACCATAAACCGATAGTATCCAATTAACACTATATAATTATTTACAGATTATAATAAAGCAATATTACTGTTACAATTTCAATTTTTAGGCCCCATAATCATGTGTGTCACATGCCTAATGGTCCCAAAAATTATCCAATAGTGTCGCGAAGTGCCTATACGTCTGGTGTGTCTTATACAAGACCAAATAAATATATAAAATATTAAAGTTCAGATGGTGAATTATTTGTATTATCATTTATAATTCTATATTTAATTTCGTTATTATTATGTAATATTCATATTGAATAAAATTATCGAGTTTATTTTGATTTAAGGCACGGTTCACTGCACAGTAATTATAAATTTAAATCAATAATCATCACAGTTTAACTATTGTTAACACATTTCTATTGATTTATTAAATAATTTGAAATTTACTGTATATAAGTATATCTTAATTAATTACTATTGTAAGAAAAATGTGAATTTAATTTTTTAAATAATAAAGTTTGTTTTGTAATTTCACAACAGTTTCCTTTATTATAAACACATTAGTTATATAACGCTGTTTTTTAATATTTCACATCTCGACATGTTCATTTCTTAAATGTGCGTGAATAAGAATAAACAATTATTCTTGCCGCTGTATTGATCCAGAAATGTCCTGCTGATACTTTGTATCACTGTATGAAAGTTAATAAACTTCCATGCTCAGCTTAGATGAAGGTCAAAAATTTTCTTCAATGATGACGTCATTGGAACAAGTAAGATTAGTTTCCCTATTACGACTCAACTAACGTAAATGGATTATGTGGCTGAACAAGGATATTCCCTTACTAAGTCTATCAAGCTATGAAGAAGTTGGTAAAAGATATCGTTCAAAATTGTTTAACTTTCTACAAAAAGCAAAAAAAACAAAAAAAAAAGGTAAAAGATATCGTTCAAAATTGTTTAACTTTCTACAAAAAGCAAAAAAAACAAAAACAAAAAATACAAACTGAAAATATAATCTTTGTAATTTCTAAAGAATTAAATTCTTAGAAAGGAATTCGTTTTGTAAATTAGATAAATAATTGAAGACACTAATTTTATGTTAAATTATTCAAAATCCGATTGACTTGCATAGATGATGGCGTAATGTGTGTGTCCATTATATAAGGCTGTCGAGAGCTTATGTGGGGACCGGGATAGAGCGAGCGGGCACCTTTAGTTTTATTTTTATTTGTTTATTTATTTATCTTTTGTTGAATAAATGAAATACGTAGAATGTTTTTTTCACTAATTTACTAATAAAAAATCCAGTAATGACTTGTGTAACTTTTCCGGCAAAGTTCTAGTTTTATGTTCTAGAAACACTAAGATACATTAGCACGAAGTTAAAATTGTGTAATTGCAAAATTGTAGCGTCATCTGTTATGAAATGTTCTTTAAAAATAACTTTTATATTATTAATTATTATATAAATGCAAAAAAGGCTTAATTTTAAGGATAGGGACGAGTTTTTAAAATATCGTAAATGCTAATATACATTAAATATACATTAATTCCGACTGCACTGGATATATGACACGTAACTTCTGTATCTCCCATCCCTCGATCTTATCGCTAAAGTTTAATAGAATGAATGCATGTTATATACAAATTACTATGCCAAATTTTGTTTCTTAATTTTTATCCCATCCTGAGACATTAAACGAAATAGATGCCAACAGGCACACACATATATACGCATACATACATATTCCAGGTATAAATTGTTTAACTTTTTCAGATTCAGGTGATCTCAAAACGTTGAAATTACAAAATCCTAGTTAGTCGAATGTGATACGATGTTATAACAGCCGGGAAAGTAAAAGCAATTTTAAAGGTTTTATTTTTTGTTAGTAAAAATAACATTAACTTTATGGGGGTCCCACTACGGATCCTTAGTTTTCTCTGGACTGAGGAAAAAAATCCCAGCTTCTCCTCCCTCTCGATGGCATCGTTATCATATAGAATCATCGAAGTGTGAATAAAACCACCGAAACTGGTAGTTGGTTGCGGGTTCGTGCCTGACCAACGAGCTGGCCACGCGGAATTTTCTAGGTTTTCTTCACGTGTCTAACACACCAAAATAGAGTGTTTTCCGTATAAATTCTTCCCTCTCGGCATATCGCTCGTGTGTTGCGTTGCCATACCCCATTATTCCTGCAATCCCACAACTAAGTTATCAGAAATTAAATGGCACTCAAGAGCTACGTTAATTATTTTGTGCGCCAATTCGCTCACAACTTTCTAACCTAACATCTTCATCTAATCGTGTTTTTAATTTCTAAGTGATAATTAATTATTTATTTCCAAATTACTTCGTTAAAATATAAAGATAGAAGCATTAAGAGTTAAAAAGCAGTCACATCCATTTACTTTAACGGAGATAAAACTAAAAAAGAAGCACAAATCGCTGTATGCCAGCCATCAATCATGTGTTATTTATTGTCTGGTGTCATACGATCTCCTCAGTTGACACTACATCTATAGATCTGGTATACTGTTACTATAAAAAAAAATATTTCCATGACAGGTTTTCAGGTGGTACAGTAAAATCTGTCCAAAACGGAACCTAAATAAAACGGAAATCTGCCTAAAGGGAAAAAATTCTACGAAACTTAGCGATTTGCTAAGTTTAAAACGAGAACCTGCTAAATCGGGAAAATACAGTAAAACTTGTGTAAACCGAAATTGCAAGATATTTTTTCCAGGTTTAATGGTTTAAAAAAAAAAAATAGAAAATAACTCTGTTTCGTTTTATTCGGGTTTCATTTTTTGACAGGTTTTACTGTATTATATACCCAGCAATTCGGGTTTACGCAGGTTTTACTATATTATCAATTTATAAACTTCCATTCGAAATATAATTTATGAAAATTTTTTAGTTTTTACTTCATAAAATTTCTATAAGAATTTTATCATATTTTTATCATTTTCGTGATAAACAAGCAATTTGTATGCGGAGAAAAGCGGAAATTCCGGTATATCATTTCACTAACGGCGATAATTTTACACCTCGGGGTCAAGTATCGTTTCCAGGCAACTGTAATGTATCTTCGTTTACTCGAAGTCTCTCAATTGAAACTTGCAATTTTCATCTTACAATTTGCTTTTAGCTTTTTTTTTTCTTTCTTGTTTAATATTAGTCACGTTTCTCAGCTTATTTTTCTTATTGTAAAACACATTTTAAAATAGATGCAGTATCGAAAAAATTGCATACAGAATATTTAGCACATTTTAATGGTTAAGTTTATTTATTCTTTCACGTTTTATAT